TCTCTCCTCCCTTTCTCTCTCTCTCTCCTCCCTTTCTCTCTCACCTCCCCCCCCTCTCTCTTCTCTCTCTCTCTCTTGTTCTCTCTCTACCTCTCTCTCTATCTTTAGATAGATGATGGAGACTCTCTGGTATGGAATTCTGGGGGGGGGGTATTCATTCTTGTTGTCACAAGTTGGCAATTATCTTAGTCACTTAGTCTATTCTCTGAGAAATGTGACCATGTGGTTTCTAGATGTATATTGTAACTCTGTAACTCTGCTCCTCTTTCTCTCAGTAGATCTTGTTTTTTGCCGTCCATCTTTCCGTACTTCTTCCTTTCTTCTGCTTCTAATTGCTGAGCCCAGCACTCTACCTATGAATTTTTCTGTATGTGGTAATGTGTTGAACTTGTAACTTGCTCCCCCCCCGGCAAATGTGTGAAACAAAAAAGGTCATTCTATCTCCTCTGTTGCAGTACGAGAGCGACCAGCCGAGAAGAGAAGAACGTGACAGGTTTCTTAGATCAGCCACCCTCCAAATGGGCAGAGAATTGTGGAGAGGTGAGTGGCACCAGGAAAATGTCATCCTGTTTGTTTGTGGAGAACATTTGTTCATCACTGTTTGGTCATATAATAATAATAATAATAGATTCTGTTTGTTTTAACACATTGTGTCTCTCCCCTCCTACACCCCCCCCCCCTTCTGTTTGTTTTAACACATTGTGTACTGTTTCTTCATCCCCTCAAGGTTCTTGCCATCTACACATTCTCCCGCCGCTGTAACATGGACGACTACGAGAGCAAGGCCCGCAAGTCTGTAGGCTACTCCACAGTCACTCACTTCAACGTGGTCCACGTAGACTGCCACACCACAGCTGTCAGGTAGGTAGAGGGAAAGGAGAGAATAGTACTACCCATTTCAGTCGTCGTAAATGAATGTAAAAAAATATTTTTACACTCAATAATGAATAAAATGGGAATATCGTATTAAGATATTTCCTTAAACATATGATAGGAGAATTCGCTGGTATTTGCTGATAAATATGATGGGAAAGTAGCTGATGTGGGATGATGCAGTGAGAAAATCATTTGGTATTTGATAGGAAAATTATTAGGTATTGATTGTAATGAATAAGAATGGAAAGTTGTTTGATATTAATTGATAATAGATAAAAGAATATTATTTGATGTTTGCATATAAAGATAAGTTTGAAACAGTAATTCGAATTGATAAAAGGTGAGATAAGAAAATAAATGAGTGAATGAAGAAGAAATAACTGAGTGAATGAAGAGCTAATGGTGAAATTTGCTTACAAATAAGATTAAAAATGACATGATTTTGATAATGTAAATGATAAAAACATTTGATAGTTGGTGATGTATAAGACAGGTACATTATTTAGTGTTTGGTAATGAATATGATAGGAACATTATTTAATATTTCACCATCTTTATGAAGTTGTGTGCATACATATACGCGCATACACCCTGGCACTCACGCATACATCTGCATTTTCTCACCAAACACTCCAATTATGTCGGTATTTTCATTGCCCCTGTTATAAGGCTGACCCTACACACAGATGATGACCTGTATCTGTTGCTTTCAAGATCTTTTAATTTTTCTGTGACCTTTGAACTTCAACCCATGCCTCGTTGTAGTAGATACGCTTGTGATGTATCATATACACAAAGTTACAACAAAATTCTTTCTGTTAGTTTAAGGTGTGTTTGATATTGTGCTATTGCTTCTTATGATCTTGCTATGCCTGTAACCTCCAGACATGCCCGCGGACGAGAGGAGTGGGAGAGTGCTGCACTTCAGAACGCCAACACGCGCTGCAACGGTCTGCTCCCATTGTGGGGTCCGCAGGTGCAGGAGTCAGTCTTCGCTAGCTGCCTGGCTCGGTGAGTGTTTGATACTTTGTGTCAGAATAGAATGGAAACATAAATATATAGCTGTTGCATATAGAGTGAATTCATGAGTTTGATTTAATGGAAAATAGCGTAAAAATTGTTTTCAACCATGAAAGCAGAAGTAGTTATGGAGACCACATTTTTTTTTCAAACAGAAAGTTACAAATGGGACATTGCTTGATGTTGCTCGACCTTGATATAAAATGTACACAACCAGCCCATAGCCAAGCAATAACCATTACATCATGGTTTTATGTGCTTTTTTCTCACTCTTGGGGTTCTTAACACTGGCATTAGTGATTTATTTGTTACCAACTTTTGGCTTACACTAGGATCTTTGAAGAAATGCTTGTGGCTCTTGAATGACCACAAGGATTTTTATGCTCAAAGTTGAGAGCTTGTTGTTGGATATTTTTCTGTGTTTGATAATAACTTACCTCCATCAAAGTGCCATATAGACTTTTTATTTTTTAAGCAACAAGTCTCTCTCCCCCCCCCCCCCCCCCCCCA